AAGTTCTTCACGTTGTGACGAAAAAACTGTTGATGATACCTTTTAAAAAAGCAGCATTTATTTGTTGTTCTTGGTGTAGACAGAATTTTTGTTTTGAATGTTTTTATCATAAGTATCATTCACGATCATGTACATCTGACAATGATATGTAATTATATAATATTGCTTCAATAAATTATATTCGTTTTTCTTGGTTATATTTGAGTTTTGCACTTTACAAGTTAGTATTTTACATCACTGTATAAAGAGTTATCATCAACAGTTTTTTCGTCACAACGTGAAGAACTTGCTTCTCTTGACGACATTTTTTGATTATAAAATAATTTTTCAAAATAAGTTTTACTACACAAATACGTCTATTCGTGTCGAAATTTAGAAACGAACTGTTAAAGAGTGAGTGAAAAAGAACTCCGATAGAAAAAACGCTCCTAGTGAGAATTAGATCGGTCACCGTTAGTGATAACAATTAGATGGGAAAGTTGACACATAGGTGTCAAGAATGCGCCGTTATTGTCAACAAAAGTATAAAAATATTAGACTTGGAATAGTAGAAATTAAATTAAAATAAATAAATAATAAGAAATAAATGAATGAGTAAATAAATAAATACATTATAAGTATTTATGAATTAAAAAAAAAATTATACGCGAGAATCGAACCCGAGAACTCAAGCTTATGAATCAGACTCGTTACCACTCTGCCACAGGACGCTCGAATAGAAATACGTATAATTTATATATAAAGTGCTAACAAAACTTTAAGCTCGATTTTCTCGATTATATTTGAGTATTGCACTTTAGTATTTTACAGGTAGTACACTCGCATCGTGTACTACCTCTACACCAAAGATCATCAAAATCCGTTACCCCAAAGCCGTAGGCTCTCCTTGTAAGATCAAACTCCAGTTCACGTGAAATTTGAATATCCCATTAAATGTGGTGTGATATCAATCTTTAATATCATGCCTAAATTTAAGATTCTTCTGGTGAATTACTGGTGATACAGTAATTTGATGGAAAATTTTAGCTTAAGGTGTCAAGCCTAATAGGCTTGACACCTTAAGCTAAAATTTCCCATCAAATTACTGTATCACCAACTAAATTTGATGAAAATCCACTAACTTAACAACCCAATTACCAGTGACAGCAGCAAGCTTGGATGACAAAATGACAAAAGACAATTGAAAATTATTTTAAAATAACTGACAATTTCAGAACTCTAAAATACAATTATGTATGATCTATAAATGTCTTTGATTAATACAATGTACTAATATCATTGTAAGCAAACAAATGCTTTCTTTCCTAATGATTGTCAGATTATTGGGATAAGTTGAATTCAATGGTTCAATCTCATTAATCTGATAGTGTTCTGGTCTATATATATTGGATTACCAAGACTGTACTGTATAACTTTTGTTATAAAATCTTCTTTATGTAAAGTTTAATTTTTAAAGTTTTAATTTCTTTATTTTTAAAGATTCAGAAAAGTTGATGTAACTTTTTGTATAATCTATATATATATAAAAATGGACATGTATGTCCCTATATTTCACTTTTCTGTCAAAACTACACATCGCACGTCAATGGTGTTTGTATGTGGTGGTAGCCCCAAGTCTCCATTCGTGCATAGGGGTGGTTGCGTCTCGATAGCTATAAGGGTGCGGGAGATATGAGGCTGAAAGTGGTTGAAAGTGGCTTTCTATTTCGAATGTTTTGTTCGAATTTGTTTGAATTAAATTCAAACATAAAATTCGAATATTGGTTCAATTATAGAACGATTGTAAACATTCCAGAAACGTTGAAAATAGTTAGTTTGACTAAACGTAAAAATTCTCTAATTAGTCTGGAAACGGGGGACCTAATTCTTGCATTCTGTGAAAACGGGTAAGATTAGCTATAATGTAATTATCTTAATCTTCACTATCGTTACTTTTTGCCCAGCGAAGCGGGTCCTTGCAGCTAGATTCTAGATTACTTAGAAAAACAGTCTTTTATATATATAAAAAAAAATATATTACATACAAATAAAAACCCAGTGAAGCGGGTCCTTGCAGCTAGTAATACAATATTTAGAAAAACTACTGTAATTATTCCCTGATTACTTAGTAAATAATGAAATTATTCAGCACCGAACATACATTTAGAAATGAATATATATTTTTTAATTTTCGGTAATTTTTGTATTGTGGTACCTCATAGCTTGAATGCTAAACTAAAAAAAATTTGCTTAGGAGTTCAAATGATCCTTCAAAGCTTGAACTGCACAGGAAGTGAAAAATGTGCTTGAAGCATAAATGCGAGCTACTGCGCACTCAAGTTCTCTCTCACTCTTGCATTATTCTTGTATTGTATTTTTTTTCAGTGTTTTTTGCTTTATTTTTGGTGTGTTTAGTTATATATATTTGTGTGTTATTTGTCAATCTTTAACAATCTCTTCCTTCAATTTTTCTTTGTCAACAGCTTTTTTGTATCCTTTAGCTGAAAATTTTCTGAATAGAATTTTTAAACCATATATGACATGTTCAAATTTAGAACAGCTCCAATAAACACATCACAAAGTTTGTTTTACTGTTTATGTTGCATTATTTTTTTTTCCAAAGCTCAAATCATAATATGCCTGATATGCTTTTTATCTGAAGGCATTTCAACTTGATTTTATTCAAACAAAATGTGAAGTACAAAGTTGAAAATAATCTCCTAAGCAAAGAATACAATCTCAAATTGGCAATAATGTGTCAAATTTCACAACTGTTACAATTAAATCACACATTTATGTAAGTAATGACAGCTATTAGAATATACAAAAACTATTCAACCCAATATACCCTTTATCTATTAACCATGGCATTCAAGAAGTCTGAGGAAGCAACAAAACCTAAGAGAAAGGCTGTAATATCAATGATTGAGAAGAAAAAGAAATTCATTGCAAAGCATGAAAGCGGTACACATGTAACAGATCTGGTGGCCTTGTCTAAGATGCCAAAATCGACACTGTGAGACCAGTAAATGCAATTTTCATTTTATTACCGGTATTTACTAGTGTTGCAACGAATAGTATATTCGACCTCAAACCGAATACTCGGCCAGGAGCGTGGCCAAATAGCCGAATATTCGGCCAAACTAGTCGGCTCGATTAACGCAAAAACGTACGAAAATTGGCGTGCAAACCGCATTATGGCAAGGACCCTGCTCTCTATTAGCACGCTGTCACTATGCTTCACCAATCGTGTTAATTATTGACAGTTGTAGTGGACAGACATCAGCGTCATAACAGTATGTGATAAATGATGATATCAAATGTGGATAACAATGAAATGACCTACATGTGTAAATAACGGAAAAAGAACAGAGAAGGACCGCGAAGTGAAAATTTGAAAATAAGTATGAAATTGAGTTGATAACATAATTAAACAAGTCGAGGCAGCTTATTGGCGTGAAATTCACTGCCGTCAATGCCAAACAATTGTTATCATAGACTTTGGAAAACTAAATGCTTGTAATGAAAGTCACTTAGCATGCACAAGCGAAAGCCTTGTGCATGCTAAGCCATTCGAGCTACCAAGCTGTCTCGAATCTGTGAAATCATAACTGCGACTTATACCGACGTCCTATCTGTCTCTTTTCTCCGTTATCACCAGGCTATGAGTCACGTAATTGTAAAATGGGAAATCTACGACGGAAAAGTGACAAATTGAAGTATCGTGAGTGTGTATTATGATGTATGCATAGGCATACCTGGACTATATAGATATATATAGAGGAAAGAGAAAGGGAAGTGCAAAGATGAGCGCTTAAAAAGAAGGATAGGCAGGCCCAGACCCTCAGATATGCGATGAACGAATAGGTGTGCATGTGTGCTGATCTTTATAATTATAAATTGTGAATACATGTGACTAATATTATTTTCTTTTTTATTTTGTGCATGTTATAAGTTATAAATAAATATAAACAAACAACACTAACCCCATAACATTAAATCTAAAAACCAAAATGATTAATTTACTGTGTTTTTGTTATTTCTTACTCCTGTTTTTAGGTACTCGGTATTTGACCGAATAGTGATTAAGTATTTGGTATTTGGCCGAATAGCAAAAAATAGGCCGAATACCAAATAGTAACCAAATATTCGTTACATCACTAGTATTTACATATTTTATTTATTATTATATTGTTATAATTTAAGTAAAAATAACACAGTTAGTGTATTTGTTGTTTTAAGTTTATCCAAATGATATTCACTTTCCATTATTTGTAATAATAAAAATTGGTTTGAATTTTGAACGATTCAGTTTGAACAACTTTGAATGAATTAAATTTAAAGTATAAGGCACCAATGTATTTTAATTTTACTTATCTTCAACTGTTTGATCATTGAAACATGATGAATTCTATAATTTTAATTAATAAAAAACCTCATATGTTAAGTCATAAATTTATTATAAGCATGGATCAGTTAGGATCAATTTTAAATAATAATAAAATCTTTAAAGAAGACTGAAAGAAGTTCAGCCTTGTTTAAAGTTTTAAGTTTTTCATTTAATATACAGTACATAACATTGAACTTCTTTCAGTGTTATGTACATTAAATGAAAAACTTATTTTTTCTATTTGTGATAAATAAAATCACAAATTTTATTTATGACATTAATCATATTGGTTTTATGAAATTAATACTTGCAAGATAAAATTCTATTGAATAATGGAAATTTTTAATGGAAATTTTATGTTTTTAATAGAATTTTTATTGTAATCTCATATATTCTGGTCATTAAGAATCATTATCAGTAAAGCAATTTAAATGTAACTGATTTTCCAAATTTCATCAGTAAAGTAACAAGAAAAAATAACTACAAAACAAATAGTAAATATTGTTGAACAAATCTGATATAAAAATTCACATGAATAAATTATTAATTTTTTTAGATTAAAATACTTTTGTATTACTAATTAACTTTCTCCTTTATAAAATCTAAATGAATAAATTGTTGAAGTACTTACCTGTATGTTGGATGAGACAGATGACGTGGTGGTAGGAATGCCGAAGAGTATGGATAAGCAGCAATTGTATGATCATATGGTGAAACATGAGAATGAAGAGGATGATGAGTATCATCAATGCTCCGATATGGCTGAAATCCTCTTGAGGAAGAATGAGAATCATCCGAATGGGACGATGTCAGAGGTGGTGGTGGTCTAAAAAATCAATGTTATGTTAATGACAAAGAATTCAAAACAACATAAAGTTAACTTTAGTATAATGAAAAACTTAAAAATTGTTATCAATTGGAAATAAAGCATTAAGCTATTTTAATGATATCTAAAAATTTGTATGTGATCATAATTTGAATTAACACCTTTTAATTTAAAAATTAAAGTGTTAAATCTTCTAATTTAGAACTGTAACCTGGAGATAGCCTATTAACTAGGCCAAAAAATATTAATTAAAATAAAACAATTTTGCTAGAAAATAAAAAGGTGTTAAGTATTTGATCTTAAACAATAGTTCCAGTTGGACATTTAAACTAAAATCATTTCTATCATCATATTTTGATTATTCAACAAAATTATTTTATTGTGGAAAAAAATAACATGTAGTGAAATATACTTGAAAACACATAAAATAGAAAAAAAATTATTCTTGAATGTTATAAACTTTTGATAATACAATTTTTTCTTTGCATGAAATAGGAATTTGATGTGAAGAAAAAATTATAGTTTTTTCAAAAGTTTTGATAATGCAATTTTGATTTCAGTTACTATACTTGAATAATGTTGAATGAGTCAAGAAGAATAATTTTTGGTGTTAAATCCAATTAATATAAATTTTAAATTTATTAACTTAAAATAATGTATACATAAATTTAATACAATTGATTACAAAATCAAAAAGAAATTAACATACACACAGCCTGCATACTAAATATTTTACAATGCTGTTAAACTTCTGTTGTTTAAGAGATTCAAATAAAATTTACAGGCATGAGTATATATATAATTAAGTTTTAAAATATTACTTTTTATACTTATTTAGTAATTAATCACTGTACATCATTTTGAAAGAAAATAAAAGAATTATTTTTAAATTTTAAATTGCTCTGGTGAAAATGTATGCAAAATTCAATAAATTAAATTAAAAAGTACCATATTGCATTACTTTATTTTTTCCATGGATAAATTTATTATCTAAGGATTAATGATTGAATTCTTAGCATAAATACTTTGTTAATAATATTTAAATAAAAAATACATTTTATTTGCCTCTAAACTGAAAGTAGAAATTTTATGAGGTTTGAAGAAAATATTGGTGATTAATTTTACAACCATTATAAGAATTTATTTTTACAAAAATATTCTTTAGATTTTAATCTAGTTTCTTTTCAACCAATTTCTCTTTTTCAACTTGAAAAGTTTGCTCTCAAATCTCATCAAATAATCCTTCCAGAAACATGATTGCATTTTCTATTATAACTTTTAATAAAAATCTTTTTAATATATCTGTGATTCCTTGCCTTGAAAAAAAAGGAGTTAGCATGATATTTAACAAAAAGTAAATGATTACAATAATCCAATACTCTGAATTGTAAAGAATTCTCTTAAAAGATGCAACTTATAAAGTTGAAAAGGTGTGTTTTCAAACATGTATAACACTAAAAAATTTAAAAAAAAAAATGCATAAGACCAATATGCAAGACTAAATATTTGAGAAAGTTATTTTATCAACATGTTATTTTCTCCATTATAGTTTACTACTATTGTTAGTTGTGACAAAAACCTTTAGTAATCCAAATTCAGGTGTTAAAATACATTTATAAGTAAAGTAAAAATAATTTAGCTTTACTAATTTTTCTGTACTTTTTTAAAAAGATGGAAAAATTCTAATAAATACTGAGTACATTCTTCCAGATAAATTTACTTAAGTTGCATATTATGTTTTATATTAAAAATTTGTAATATCAAAGTTTATTTAATTTTCATAATGTCACTGATAAGAGAATCATGAAAATAAATTGTATAAATCATACCCAAAGTAGAAAAAGTAAAGTTTTCTATTTATTTATTTTTAATAGCTAATTACATGCAGGGGTGTCATTTCCACTATGGAAGGTATGGAAGAGTCCATATCTCACATTTTTGCAGGTATGGAATTCCATACCTTAGAATATTCAAAAAATTATTTATAATTTAATGCAAGGCAAGCCAAGGCACTTGCTCTCTGTATGAAAAAAAAATTCTTTCCTTGGATGTTGACCAATAGACATAATCCAAAGTATCAAAATTTTTCTAACTCTAAGCAATGCATCACCATTTTGTAAAAGCAGGACCCTGCTTTCACAAAATGGTGATATATTGCTTAGAGTTAGGTTATAAAAAAGTTGAGGTATGGAATTTTAAAGAACCAACATCCATGATTACATGAATTATGAACATGACTTCTAGTCAAGGAAAATACAATTCATTATTTTCAATACTGCATGTAGATATTAAGATTATAAAATATTCTTTATCTACCTAGAAATTATAAGAACTAAAATCTTATTAGTACAGATTTTAAAGAAATTAAAAAATGTTGAACAAATATCTTCTAAATTTATCTCAGAAAAATCTTTAAATTAAATCATGTTTGAAAATTTTATTTGATTCCAAACACCCAGAATATACAAACACTGGAAAAAATCAGTAAGTACTCAGAAGTTGCCCATAAAATGAAGCAACTGTGAAGAATGAACAGGTGTTTGTACCTGTAGTCATTTCTTGCACAAGTGTCATACCACATGCACTTTACAAAACACTAATATTAAGGTTTCACAACAGCACATCACATTACAGAAAGCTGCCATTCAAAACATATCACAAACAAAATAGCAGCCTTTTCTTAACCTGGGTCTAAAGCCAGATGATCTGCCAAAATATTGGACTAAGTTAATAATTAGATATGAAGTAATTGGCATCTGATGATATTGCATAGCATAACACTGGGAATCAGTATTAACCACGTATGATACATTGTACTAACACCATAATAATAACTGAGTACTCTATAATTTACAAGAATCACTGAAATAACATAAGAAAATATAATAATAAATTTCTGTCCTACGTCATACAACTTGATGTTTTTTCATGAGTGATATCAAATATATAGCAGTAAAAAACATCTTAAATTAGTTAGAAAGCTAATAATAATTTTCAAATGTTTTACTATATTATCAGCATGAGTATTAAACTATAATATATAATTTAAAACATTAAGTTTTTTAATTAAACAGGATTTAGCCTAGAATTAAATAATTTATAATTATTTCAAATAAAACCTTTCATTAATAAATTTGTAATGATGATCAAATTATAAATCAACTATTCCAAAATTCCTACAAGACTATTATTGCATATCCTATTAATATTTTTACCATTGTTTTCAAAAAAAAAATATTAAATAGACACCCACAACTGCTGTAATTAATCGGACTAAAAAAAATATTATATAACAATAACAATTTTATAAAGAAAATTTTGATAAATTAATATAGTGTATTGATATTTATAGTTAAACAGATAAATTTTTCTTTTGGTCTTTCCTGTAATTTTATAATTCTTAATTGCATAAAACAATTCAGAAATAAATGAGTTTTTTTTTTAAAGTTCATTTAAATATTTTGAAAATTTCTTAAATGGGGAATAGACTTAATTAATGCAGAACAAACAACTGCTGTAGTAGTTAAAATGACTTAAATGATAATTAAACTTACATTTATATTTTTATTTTAATCAGTATTGTTTTGTCTTATTACAGTATTAAATAAATTATAGTTCATTGGTATTGTATTTAACATTGTAAATGGAGAAAAATGACTAATGATCATTGGTTGTTTGAATTAATTACTGTACTGTCAATTGCTTACATTCCCGTCTTACTGTGCTTCTGAATCTATCTATTAATAATGTTTTCAATCTTAGAAACTTTAGTTTTAAAAATTCTCTTATTTTAAATTTATGTATACTTTCAAAACTTCTTTAAATGAATTAGATTTGTTGTTTCTGAAAGAATATTCATATATCTTCTAACCTTAGTGCTTACAATATGCTCAAAAGGTTTCATTATTAAAATTCTAATAATAAAGAAAACTTTGTTAAACATTTCATTTTAATGTTTATTCTACAATAAAAAGTTCAATGAAATTTATAATAAGATTTAAAAAAAAATTTACTCTACAAAGTAAAACAGAATTTATAATTTTATAAATTGCTTTAATCAAGTAAGAATATTTATCATAATTATTTATGTTAGTATCTTATGAATTTTATTTATGATTGTAAAATTTCTATTTATGATAAGCTTAAAATCAACAAGAAAAAAAAAGCAAAGTTTTTCATGATTTACTTAATTCTTATAATTTTTATTCTTTTAGGAAGAAATAACAGGTTCATAACAAACTAAAGTTTTTTTTTGTTTTTTTTTAACCTTTTAATGGCTGATCCAATTTCCAGTTACTGAAATAATGTTATTTCTTAATGTTAGTTGAAGAGTATGTGATATTGAAGAACAATTCTGAATTATTTTTAGCAGAAAAGTAATGAGCAAAATATAAGAGATTCCACATGTCAATATTTTAAAAGTAGTAATTAAAACAAATTTGGGTATAGCAAAATGATTAAAAGAAATGCATAGATAAGTGAAGATAAACCAGGCTCTTGGACAGGAGTTTTAAAAGGATAAAATTAAAAACAAAAAAACAGACATCATTTTTCATAATATGGTTTATTGATTTTTACAGCATAGATATGTAGAGAAACAACATAGTAGACTAAGGAGGATCTGGTTCAAAATAAATGTAAGTTATATGTAATATACTGTTTAATTTTTCTTAAATGGGAGAAGTTAAACCCTCCAAAATCCATGTAAACAGCCTTGAGATAAATTTTATATAAAATCTTTTGTTGGTACTAAATTTATTTAAAATTTAAACAAATTCATAACTGACCTATTTTCTACAGTATAACATCCATTTGCTTTAATTTTGCATTTCACTGGAATAATAATGTATTTTAAAATATTTCCAATGTTGTAAAGAGATGGCAACAAGTAAAAAAAGTCAGATTGATATTTACATTTTATACAGTACAATCTTGGTAATCTGGCCATTTGCTAGTTAAATACATCCAGTACTCCAAAACCAGTCACCTCTTAGATACTA